AGCTAGCCAAAACTATAAACACACACTTAATGGCAAGTTTTAATGTTCTGAGTAATAAGTATAAAGGAAGAGGAAAAACCAGAAATAAGAAACGAAATGCAAAATTTAAGAATAGGCCAAGTGGTGAACAAAGCCATGATTGCACTGAAATAAAATAATATTGGCGAGGCACCGTGGCTCATGCCTGTAATCGCAGCACTTTGGGAGGCCAAGGCAGGTGGATCATGAGGTCAGGAGTTCGAGACCAGCCTGGCCAACATAGTGAAACCCCATCTCTACTAAAAAGACAAAAAATTAGCTGGGTGTGGTGGCGTATGACTGTAATCCCAGCTACTTGGGAGGCTGAGGCAGGAGAACTGCTTGAACCTGGGAGGTGGAGACTGCCGTGAGCCCAGATTACACCACTGCACTCCAGCTGAGTGAGCAACAGAGCAAGACTCCATCTCTTTATTTATTTATTTGCCGCATTTCACTCTGTTCACCCAGACTGGAGTGCAGTGGTGCAATCATGGCTCCCTGCAGCTTCAAATACTGGGCTCATGTGATCTTCCCACCTCAGCCTTTCAAGTAGCTAGGACTACAAGTGCACCATTACACCCAGCTAGTTGTTGTATTTTTTTCAATTTTTTGTATAGACGGGGTCTCGTTATGTTCCCAGGCTTGTCTTGAACTTAGGCTAAAGTGATCCTCCCACTTTGACCTCCCAAAGTGCTGGATTACAGGCATGAGCCACCACACTTGGCCTTTTTTTTTTTTTTGAAACGGAGTTTCGCTCGTTACCCAGGCTGGAGTGCAATGGTGCGACCTCGGCTCACCGCAACCTCCACCTCCTGGGTTCAGGCAATTCTCCTGCCTCAGCCTCCTGAGTAGCTGGGATTACAGGCACACGCCACCATGCCCAGCTAATTTTTTTTGCATATTTAGTAGAAACGGGGTTTCACCATGTTGACCAGGATGGTCTCAATCTCTTGACTTCGTGATCCACCCGCCTTGGCTTTTTTTTTTAAGCTAGTCAAGTGCAACAGTGAAAATGAAGAAGAAACAAAGAACCTATAACTAGTTGCGATCAATTAGTTGTAAATACCACTGCACTTGGACCAGCACAAACTCATTCTTAACCTATTCACCTAAAATAATTCTTATTGTGTATTACTTTTCAGGTAAAATGGAGCCCTGGACTTTATTTTAATGACTTGCCATCCTGGCTATTTTGACAGTGTCTTTGTTAACTCGTGTCATACCTTTATGACCTGGTCCTACCTTTCTCATTCAGACTTGCGCTGTTCATTGCTGTCTTCCCAGTTCCTGAAAAGGTACCCAACATGTGAATTGTAAAATGAATTAAAACTTTGAGGGAGGTGTTATTACCATCCTGGCTTTACAGATGAGGAAACTAGGGTTTAGCAAGATTAAGTAACTTGCCTAGGGGTTACAAACCACTAGCCAGAAACAAACCCACATCTGACCACAAAGTCCTTGCTTCTACTCTACCCTTACTGATCAGAATAACTTTTTTTTTCTTTTTTTTGAGATGGAGTTTCTCTCCTGTTGCCCAGTGCAATGGTGTGATCTCAGCTCACCGCAACCTCCGCCTCCCAGGTTTAAGTGATTCTCCTGCTTCAGCCTCCCAAGTATGTGGGATTACAGGCACTTGCCAACATGCTTGGCTAATTTTTTGTATTTTCAGTAGAGAGATGGTTTCTCCATGTTGGTTAGGCTGGTCTCAAACTCCTGACCTCAGGTGATCTGCCCACCTTGGGCTCCCAAGGTGCTGGGATTACAGGTGTGATCCACCATTCCCAGTCAGAATAACTTTTTAATGTTTTGCACTTCTGTGTCTTTACTGGTGGCAGCTCTCTCTTCTTAAGGGAAAGCTCAATTTAAGCTTCATCAACCTGAGCATCTTCAACCTCTGATTCCCATGATGGACTTAAATAGAAACTCTATCTCCTTTGGGTTGTGCCTTCTCCAAATTCTATTAAAACAGCACTTTTAGCCCTTTGCTATACTTACTTACTTCTCCTCCTTTTCCCCCATCTCAACTCTAAACTTCCTGAGGGCAGGAATCAGGTATCTTCAAGTGCCTCTGGCACAAGGTAAGAGTTAAGTAAATATCTGATGAATGAGTGAATTACTCCTGCAAATCCCCGAGATTAAAAGGAAACTTTTAGCTCGATTCCCTAACCACAGGCAATCAAAGACTGTAGCTTTCCCTGGTGTGGGGTTGGCAAGAGCATGCCTCAAATTCCCTGCCCACACCACAAAAAAGCATTGTTGTGCAATGATATGGCAGTTTTTCAAGTTTTGAGACATCTAATGGAAGGACAATCCAGTACAGTTTGAAAACTTTAAAGACTAAACTTAAAATCTATCGCTTAAAAGTGGCCTACCCGGATAGGACACCAGCTCTCAATTTTAAATAATGTTTGACTGGTTCAACTAAATCATTGTTTTCAGTGGTTTTTACATATTTTGAGTAATTTTATTTTTACACGGAGTGGCTTGAAAATGCAACGTCATAAATTTACTATATTGACTTCCTCACAACTTATAAGGACAAAAACTGTCTTATACAAAGTGGGAAAATAAAGTAACACCTGAGTTAGGTAAAAAGGCATTCAATAAATGTTATTATGCTGTCATCTTCCTAAAAGCATAAGTGGCCAATTTAGTCTAACAAATACTGGGAAGCATTTACTACAAGGTTTTCGTTTTGCTGGTCTGAATACTATGTTCAAACTATACCTACACAAAAAGTGGGTTTTTTGTTTGTTTTTGAGATGTAGTCTTGCTCTGTCACCCAGGCTGGAGTGCAGTGGTGCTATCTCAGCTCACTGCAACCTCCGCCTTCCGGGTTCAAACAATTCTCCTGTCTCGGCCTCCCTAGTAGCTGGAATTACAGGCGTGCACCACCACCCACAGCTAATTTTTGAATTTTTAGTAGAGAGGAGGTTTTGCTGGGTTCTCCTAACCTCAGGTGATCCACCCGCCTTGGCCTCCCAAAGTGCTGGGATTATAGGCATAAGCCACCTCGCCTGGCCAAAAAGTGTTGTTTTTAAAAAATATGGTGTAAAGGGTTCAACTGAGGACTACATAAATAGTACTAAATTCAATATTCTGGATATAAGAATTTATAACCAAATGCTTAGCTAGACCAATTTCAAGGCACACATTTAAAATAACAATTTTTTTTTTTTTTTTTGAGACGGAGTTTTGCTCCTTACCCAGGCTGGAGTGCAATGGTGCGATCTCAGCTCACCACAACCTCCACCTCCTGGGTTCAAGCAATTCTCCTGCCTCAGCCTCCTGAGTAGCTGGGATTACAGGCATGTGCCACCATGCCCAGCTAATTTTTTGTATTTTTAGTAGAGACGGGGTTTCACCATGTTGACCAGGATGGCCTCGATCTCTTGACCTCGTGATCCACCCGCCTCGACCTCGCAAAGTGCTGGGATTACAGGCTTGAGCCACCGCGCACGGCCAAAATAACAATTTTTTTAGACACACCCAAACCACAATCTATAATTTTACTCCTTCTATTAACACTAAATTTCCGAGCCGTGTCTAGCCCCACCTAGACATCCAAAATAAACAAGGTTTACAAATAGGATATTATAAAGGTGGGACACGAATTTCACAACTGGTGTACATGAAATCATTTCTGATAAACCAGTATTTTTCCAAATATTCACAAGCTGATTTATAAGAAACTGAAAATTATTGTGCCAAGTTGGACTTCTGGCCTCTCGGTTTGATGATTGGTCCTTCCCTTCTGTCTTCCTCTGCCAGGAATACTCTCCTGACTCATCCCTGCCTGCCTATGTCCATCACTTCCTTGGAGAACTGGCTCAGGGAAAAAGTCCTGCCTGCCTAATTCCATCTCTACTAACTACTTTCTAACTTTGCATTCCCTTGGGACTTAAATACAGTTTGCACGACATAATCACCAACTTCATCCCTTTCCTTCCTATAAGTTGTTTTGCATTTTTCTATCATTTCTCCAATAAGAGACCAAGAAGGGACAGCATCTTCTTTCATATTCTTTTCAACACAGCTAGCAATAATCACCAGTGAAAGAAAGCTGACCTCTCAAAAATTGCTAAAGAAAGCAACTGACTTTTCGTTTACAGTTTACTCTATCACCTCCAATATGCATGAGTCCTTAAAGGAGAGGAATTTTATTTTTGCCTTACTTCAAATTCATCATAAAAGATCCAACTTACAAATCACATATATAACTTAATGTAAAGAATAATCCTGGTTATTGAAAGTTATCTTGTGATTTACCATTTCAAGTTTCTTACAAAAGCCGTAATAGTCTTGAAGCAGCGCGCCTGTGAGTGGAAGGAAGCTGGCAGCAGACTCTTGCAAAAGGGGCAAAACTCTAGTTGGCAGTAAATGTTCAAACACGTGATCCTCCACTGTTAAGGTTCATTAACCACACAGACTTGCTGTTTCAGCTTTCTGGCTTCAATGAAGTGCTATGATCTCCTTTGGTTATTGTTGAGAGCCAATGATGGGTTAAATTCCCATAAATTAACCAGCGCTTTGGTGGTTTGCCCAAGTATACCGCTGGCATCGGTGTTGGACTTTTTTTAATAGACCTGCCCGCCCCGAAGAGCCAGAGTTGAGTGAGTTAAGCGCCAACCCGGCACTTCTCAGCGGGCAAACGGAGACAGACCCACTCGAGCCGTTCGCTCTCCCTCTAGTTCTTAGTGTCAGCTTATCCGGCCGAGGGGGAGCTTCATGGGAAGCTGCTTTTTGCCCAATCTCAGCCGAGTCTTCCTTAGGGGCTGCAAGCCACACTTCGGCGGCTGCCCAACTTTTCCTGCAAGAAGCATCCGTTTTTCCACACTCTAAGTTCCAGAAACCCGGGTTTGGGAAGAGACGGGGAGAGAACCGGCTCGCCCCGTCGGCAGGGAAGGAACAAAGTGAGCTCCCGCGAGCCCAAGCCGCCGCGGCCCGCCCACCCTCCCGCCCCGTCGGCCGGCCCCACTCACCCTCCAGCAGCACCTCCTTGCCCGCGCGCTTCAGCGCCTGCACGGCCTGGTCGTGGGTGGCCTGGCGCAGGTCGGTGCCGTTCACCGACAGGATGGCGTCGCCCAGCCGCAGCGCCCGGCTCTGGTCGGCGGCCAGCCCCGGGAAGATCTTGGAGATGAGGATCGGCATCCGGTTCTCGCGGCCGCCCTTGATGCTGATGCCCAGGCCGCCCGCCTCTTGCTTCACCACCCGCACACGGCGCACGGGCGGCGACGCGCCCGCCTCACCCGCGGGGCCCCGAGGCGGCGCCGGTGGGCTCGGGGGCCCCAGGCCGCGGCTCGGGCTCCCAGGCAGCGAGTCGCCGGCGCCGCCGCCGTTCGGAAGGCCGTTGAAGGCGGCCGCCGCGGGTCCCAGAGCGGGCTCCAGCTCGGCCGCGGCGCCGTCGCCAGTCAGGCTCAGGCTCTCCCCGCTCAGTTCCGCCACCACTCGGACCCAGCGCTCCCTCAGGAGTAGCTCCACCAGCCCAGCTTTGGTGGCCCGCGTCCACACCGCCATGGCCGGCCCCTCTCCAGCCGCCGCAGTCGCCACAGCTACCCTCATTCCAGTCAGGCAGCCTCAGCGCTTCCCCCTTCCCGCCCGGAGGGGCGGGCCCGGCCCTTCCCCGGCGCGATTCATTATTCATGATGCCACGCCCACCTCCCGAGGGGCGGGGCCGGCGCAGCCGCTTCCGGGAGGTGCAGAAGCTGTCGGATCCCTCGCTTGTCGCCGGACGCGGGCAGCCCGAGTGCGGTGGGACTGCATTTCTCATCCTCCTTCCATTGGCTCCCCACGGACCCGCAGAAACTATTGACCTCTACCGTGCAATTCACGGAAGCTGCCTGGGCACGAAAAGCAAAATCAGCTTGGAGAAGCACTTTGCAAGCATGCAAGACCCGGTGGCACGTTCATTCTTGCACTGATTGGTTCGCACCCTGTGTACTGAGCGCTCAACCAGGGACTCCGGCTCCTTCTGAGGCCCTGTAGATAAGCGCAGTAGTACCAGCAACAGCTGAGAGTCTGCGGTCTAGTGGGGAAGGAAAATACAGAACCAACCAACTAGGTGTGATAATACGTGGTTAAATGACATACAGAAAATGTCCCCAGAACAGTATAAAAGGAACATTTGGGCTGGGCGCGGTGGCTCAAGCCTGTAATCCCAGCACTTTGGGAGGCCGAGGCGGGTGGATCACGAGGTCGAGAGATCGAGACCATCCTGGTCAACATGGTGAAACCCCGTCTCTACTAAAAATACAAAAAATTAGCTGGGCATGGTGGCGAGTGCCTGTAATCCCAGCTACTCAGGAGGCTGAGGCGGAAAAATTGCTTGAACCCAGGAGGTGGAGGTTGCGATGAGCCAAGATGGCACCACTGCACTCCAGCCTGGGCAACAAGAATGAAACTGAAAAAAAAAAAAAAAGAAAGGGAAGAAAGTCTGAGAAGGGGCCTGATAGAGGAGGCTCATGCCTGTAATCCCAGCACTTTGGGAGGCTGAGGCAGGTGGATCACTTGAGGTCAGGAGTTTGAGAGTAGCATGGCCAACGTGGTGAAAACTCCATCTCTACTAAAAATAAAAACATTAGCTGGGTGTGGTGGCAGGCCCTTGTAATTTCAGCTCCTAGGGAGGCTGAGGCAGGAGAATTGCTTGAATCCAGGAGATGGAGGTTGCAGTGAGCCAAGATCACGCCAGTGTACTCCAGCCTGGGTGAAAAAGTGAGACCCTGTCTAAAAACAGAAAGTTTGAGTGCATGATAGAATATGTTAGGATGAAAGGAAAAAAAAAAAACAAAACAGGAAGTTTGAGAAGAGGGTGAGGGTGGGAGTGGGGAGGATCATGTAAGTCCGCATCCCCATGCCAAGGCCCAAGAGCCAGGTGCACCAAAGTCTGAGACCAGGAGAAGATCTATGTCCCAGCTCAGGCAGAGTGTGAATTCCCCCTTCCTCTGCCCTTTTGTTCTATTCAAGTCTTCAACTGATTGGATGCTGCCTCCCCATATTGGTGAGGGTGATCTTTAGAGTCTACCATGGAAAGGCTAATCTCTTCCTGAAACACCCACACAGATATACCCAGAGGTTATGTTTTACTAGTTACCTGGGCATCCCTTAGCCCAGTCAAATTGACGCAAAATTAACCATCACAGATGGTTACTGAGGAAGATGCCAGAATTCCAATGTGAACAGAGCATAAGGTCAGTGGAAATGGGAGGATATGAGTATGAAAAGCGAAAACATCAAAGAGTTTGGACTCGACTTTGTAGATCTGACTTTCTTAGCCTGCAGGCCATGGCCTTTTGTTGGGGCAAGTGTACATGCACATTCCCAAAAACTGTATGCAAAATTTGGTCTCTAAGGTTATTTTTGAAGCCTGTGATTCATCCAATTGGCAGGAAGGTGCCATGACCAAAGGCCATGAGCCACTGCTATGCACACTACAGAGCCTGGAGTGGCTGTAATCCAGATACAAGTGATGCAATCCACCCAGCTCTTCCAGCTTCATGGATTAGAACTGAGAAAACTGAGGGCCAGAGAGCCAAAGATGAGAGACCACAGCCCAAAGTCTACAGGAAGGAGGCAGAGACAACTTAGGACTCCCAGCCTCCAGATCCAGGGCTATTTTCACTATACAGTACCCCTCAAACTTCGAAAATATGGTCCAAGTTGGGCACAGTGGCTCACGCCTGTAATCCCAACACTTTGGGAGGCTATGGCTGCCAGATCATTTGAGGTCAGGAGTCTGAGACCAGCCTGACCAACATGGTGAAACCCTGTCTCTACTAAAAATACAAAAAAAAAAAAAATTAGCCAGGTGTGGTGGTGCATGCCTGTAATTTCAGCTTCTTGGGAGGCTGAGGCATCACTTGAATCTAGGAGGCGGAGGTTGTGGTGAGCCAAGATCACACCACTGCACTCCAGCCTGGGTGACAGAGTAAGACTTTGTTTCAACAAAGTAAAAATAAATAAAAAATAAACTAAGAGTCCAGAAAGCACACCATTAAGAAAGCAAGCTCGCAGCAAAATCATGAGGTCAAGGTGTCCTCTAACTTTTCTTCAGCAGCAGTAGCAAAAAATTGCCATGTTTTCATGTGGGCAGGGACAGGGCAAGCAGAGGGAATGTATACCAATTCCTATAAAAGGGGCTGTAAACTTGCTTGCTCATGAAGTGCACATTAAGGCTCGTAAACTGTGCCCACGCACCACTCGATGAACGCACGTTCATGTGCAGGCAGAAACTTCTGAAGAGCCTCCTGTAACAGGAGTTAAAATAATAAATATAGAGGCTGGGAAGTGTCCAGAGCCCAGATGAAGAAAGAATTCAAAATGAGAAAAGTATCTTACCAAAAAAAAAAAAAAAAAGAAAAGATAAAATCATTACAGCAGAATCCTTTTTGCAATTAGTGGAGTTGGATTTTTCAAGCTGCAAATGTCAGCAAAAGCTCAACCTCTCCAGCCCTCTCCTAAATCAACTGCAGAGGCCAGCTTGCTGTTCCGGCAGGTCCCACTGTGTCCAAGTGCACCTGCGGTCACAGACATTTCTGGCTTTGCTCCAGCTGAAGTGTGAGCCCCCAAAGGGCCTGAGTTATGTGAAATTTCTGCTTATTAGAGAGCATTTGGCAGCTGATTCCTTAGAGTATGAGCACTATTTTTAACACTTTTGCATTTGTAATCACCCAGGGGTTGGGCACTTGAGGACACCTTTACTAGCAAAAGGGAAGTGCTGGGAATTCTCTCCAAGAGTATCAAGACCTTTCCATCAATAGACCTGGAGTAAGTCACAGATCTGCTAGCTAATAGTGAGGGCACTTACATAAGACAGCAAGTTATATAACAAAATATTTAACCCTGGAAGTAGATATGGAGATAGATTCGTGTTGGAATTACTTGGGAGTTTTTCCTTTAAATATATATATATATATATATATATATATATATATATATATTTATTTCCTTTAAATATATATATATATATATATATAGAGAGAGAGAGAGAGAGAGATGGAGTCTTACAGGCTGGAGTGTGGTAGCATGATCTTGGCTCACTGCAACTTCTGCAGCCCCTGGGTTTAAGCAGTTCTCCTGCTTCAGCCTCCCAAGTGGCTAGGATTATAGGCGGCTGCCACCACGCCTGGCTAATTTTTGTATTTTTAGTAGAGACAGGGTTACGCCATGTTGGCTAGGCTGGTCTCGAACTCCTGACTTCAGGTGATCCACCCTTCTCGGCCTCCCAAAGTGCTAGGATTACAGGCGTGAACCACCGCACCTGGCTAAAGATTATTTTTACATATTTCCATAAAAAAATCCCCCAACAATTGAGCTGTATCTGCAAGGCCTTCCATCAGAACCAAAATGAACCTATCAACCTTCCCTTTCATCACTACTTTCAGATAAGCCAAACGCTTTCAGTCAGTATTTCCCAATGATGCCTTGCACATTGTCTAAGTCCTTCTTTCCAGACACCTCCTGCCCCCTTCGGCCAAATTCCCTAATTACCTAGCAGGATTTCATTTCAGCTTTCCCTGACTACTCAGTTCACTGGAAATTTTCCTCTGAACAATTTAATTCTGTTCCTGACTGGTTTGCCCAAATAGATTATGAACTACAGGAGGGCAGGGACCACCCATCAATTTATATTTGTTCCCTACTATTCCAAAAATATTGCCTTGCAGAGAAGGAACTCATTAAACATGACTGATTGAAATTCAGTGCCTTCTGTGCTGTAGCCTTTTCAAATAATTTCTCTGAAGGTTACTGGTTCCTTGCAGAGTGAAAATTACCATCTAGGAAATCTCAGGGAGTCAGTGGAAATCTACTTGCTGTGGATAATGATCTGAAATAAAAACAGTACACATCTGTTTCTACACTTTCTTAAAGAGAGTGAGACAAGCTAATTCTTTGAAGAATCATGTTACTTTATCTACCTCTAAAAAAAGGAAATGGTGGCCACGCACAGTGGCTCATACCTGTAATCCCAGCACTTTGGGAGGCTGAGGCGGGCAGATCACCTGAGGCCAGGAGTTTGAGACCAGCCTGGCCAACATAGTGAAATCCTGTCTCTACTAGAAATACAAAAATTAGCCTGATGTGGTGGGACACACCTGTAGTCCTAGCTACTCAGGAGGCTGAGGGATGAGAATCACTTGAACCTGGGAGGCAGAGGTTGTAGTGAGCCAAGATCACGCCATTGTACTCCAGCCTGGGCAACAGTGAGACTCTGCCTCAAAAAATAAATTAAAAACAAGCACCCACTGCTGTTATTATTACCAGTTGACTTTCAGCAACACCAACAATAAAATCCTTTGACAGAAACTCTTGGCTGGACACAGTGGCTCAAGCCTATAATCCCAGCACTTTGGGAGACTGAGGCAGGAGGATCACTTGAGCCCAGCCTGGGCAATATGGTGAAACTCCATCTCTACACAAAATTAAAAAATTAACTGGTTGTGATAGTGGGCACCTGTAGTCCCGGCTACTAGGGAGGCTGAGATGGGAGGATCACTTGAGCCCAGGTCAAGGCTGCAGTGAGCTGTGATCAGGCCACTGCACTCCAGCCTGGGTGACACAGTGAGGCCCTGTCTCGAAGGAAAGAAGGAAGGAAGAAAGGAAGGAAGGAAGGAAGGAAGGAAGGAAGGGAGGGAGGGAGGGAGGGAGGGAGGGAGGAAAGAGAGAGGGAAGAGCCAGAGGGAGAGGAAAGGAAGGAAGGGAGGGAGGGAGGGAGGGAGGAAAGAAGGAAGGAAAAAAAAGACAGAGAAAGAAACTCTCCAGCTGCGAGTCTATACTTTAGGAATGAGTCTGCCATAATACCATTTGATTCCATGCTTAAAGGGCAAATGGCCAAATTAATTTCAGTGACAAACAGATCTTGTATAAAGCTACATTTTGGCTGAAAGAGAGTATAGATTGCCAAGAGTCCGTCAAAGGAAAAGAATTAGTGGATCTGGGGCTGGTTCCAAGGTTTGAGTGTTGTGTAATTTTATAAGGAAGGAGGGCCTCAGGCAGAATTGCAGCCCTTAGCAAGCCTGAAGGTCACTGCCACAAAGGAGGCCTGATGCCAGAG